GGGGGGGGGGTGTGTGAAAGTCACATCAAAATTTACATTAAAGTAAATACAATAGAAACTTTGTGATCACTGAAAATACACTACGGTTTCCCTTCCCATTCCTACGGCTGCAATTTAAAGAGCTCAACTCTGTTTACATGAACATTGGGTGGAATGCAGCATTTGCACAAGGTCTCCCTATTTTAAGATATGCTTTTAAGAGACACAAAAAACATCTTACATCTACAGAAATGTAACTTTCATTGGCTACAATGTGGCAAAATGACCTTTATTTGTTGCATTAAGGTTCAAGATATTTTAATCCAAATATATTTAATATGCTTATCACCGTGATCGTATAAAAACAAATGCAAGTATCCTTGTGAAAATGAATTACAAATCAATGTAACTTAAAAAAGAAATAATGAACATATGTAACTATTTCTTTAGCTGGTGTTTGATTTTGGCAGTATTGTATATTGTATTGTATAAAGTATTGTATTGTATAAAGTAACCTCTTGCTTTGCATGTTTCCTGATTGTTTCCAGTTATTTTAAAAATATCAAGGTTTAGTATATTGTGCACAAGTGCAGTTGCAGTATAGCCAAATATAAACACACAACAATATTAAGTTATATATGACATGTCTGTGAGTCTTATATCATTATGTACTGTCTTATATTATTATGTTCTGTCCAATATTTCATAAGGTAGATTCCCATTGTGCAATCCTTGATAAAGCACACATTAAAGTGATAGTAAATCAAAAGGCTTTGTAAGCCATATAAAATGGTGAATAAATCACTTAAAATGGACACTGCTCCTTAATCTTTAAAAGCAGAATCAGCTTGTTCCCTGAGCACTAGCCCTGATATCCTGTTTTAGGCCCTGTTCACATGATTTTCAGGTCCTGATCAGGTGCGGATCTGCAGACGCGGTGCTATGTGTTTGGCCGCGTTTTTGATGCGTTCCAAAAATTAAAAAAAAATAAAATTATTTTTTTGCTGCTGTCAGTATGTTAGCTGCAGTGCAGTGCGTTTTAAATGTGTTTTTGACATGTTTTGCTTTTCCGGTCCATTTCCTTACCGTACAAAATGTGAATGCAGTATTTTTTCTGTCGTAACCTGAACGCACGTGAGAACTGTAGCCCATCAAACACATAGGGATACATTAGGATGCATTTTTAGTGCATGAGCGTACGGATCAGGTCAGCACAGAAAACGGACGTCGTGTGAACAGGCCCTTAGGGTGGATCCTTTCCCTGGTAGGGTCCCACGGAGCCACCCTTATGTGTGCTAATAAGCTGTGTGCATCTCCACAAACACACAAGCAAAGCAAGCCAATCCACTCCCCTGCTCCTTCTTCCTCAATCCTCTCTTCTCCCTTCTCCGAGCCAGTAGATGGACAGCTGGTAGGGACTCTGTGCCTTGTGATCTTGTACTAGATAGGAAGTTCAGGGAAGTTGGAGCCAGTTTGGAAACATGGTGACTGTATGTGCAGGCCAAAATTGAAATACTTTGCTGGGCAATGTACATTTGTTTGATCTGGATACATTATTGAAAAAGGTTTCAGAGTTTAATGCTACCTTAATAATTCACTCTGCTCAATGCTCTTAAGGCACAACAAGAGGTGTTGCCCTCCATAACCAATTGGATCCCTCCAGCAATTCATCCAAGACAAAGATCAAAAAAGTTGTCTTTTACCATCCCACATTTCACATTTCAATCCAGATGTATTTGTAACATAATTGCTCTTAATGAGATGGGAACATCCAATGGCCCTCCAGGTGGTCACATAGCTGAAATACACAGGTGAGACCAAGCTGAATCCAGATCAGAGGAAAAACCTGTCCACCTACTACTACATCACTGGATAATTTGCCAAGTGTCCTGGAGGTAATACATTGTCTGCATATGGTTTGAGGTTTCATATAGTGTTTTAAAACATCTCTTTTCCATTTGTCATTTGACCCAGTCACTTGATTACTCCTCACTTATACAAAACATTCCATGTTCTTACTGTTCGTCAATGGCAAAAACTAATTTGGATATCACATACTGAGAGCAATGGATAGAATAGTACAAGCTTACAGAAAGTACAGGTGATAAATACTATTTATCAAATACATTTTCTCAATGATCTGCCTTACAATGTCAGAATCATTTAAAGGTAGTGTCTTACTTTAAGCCATGAATGGCAGAGCTTAAAATGAAAAAAAAAAAAGAATCAGTCATGCATTAGATTCAGGTTAGAACAATGTGTGTTTTTAGTTGACGGCAGCCTTTTTTTCATGCTATTTTCAGCAATGCTGTATTCTGAATCTGTACAAAGGTAAAAATGGTTGTTTTTTGTCCCAGTCTTTTGATTGCAGCTATTACAATACAGGTCATTTTGTTCTTCATCAGTATTGTCCTTGCCTTGATTTGTTGTGAAACATTCCAAGAAGTGAGAAAGCTCCAGCAGCTGCTGTTACAAATCCAATAGCACTTATAGCTCTGTTTGCCTGTAAGACAAACCACAGATGCAAAGAATATATAAGAACATGTATATACAGTGTACTGTATATCTCAGAACTGAATTAGAGATTATTTATAGGCTGAAAAGAATAGCTTTGATGTCATACTTCTTATTTAATTCTACCCCTGGTCCTCCATTTCAAAAGAAAAAAACAAATGACATCCTCAGTCACTGTGCACTTCTTGGGGCTTGTTCACACCAATTCCAGATTGTATCAGCATGGTTGGAACACACTGGGGTTGATTTACTAACCTTATAATTACACCACGAACATGTATACACCTCTGTAGTGTGTTCCCTCCCAGCATGATCTATGGGTGGAATCTAAACACCTTTGTAGTGTGTACACACCCAGCAGGTGTGTTGTGCAAAGCCAAGCATGAATTACAAGGTGATGTTGTGTAAATTAGCTCTATGTTGTGTTGCTTGCGTTGATGAATGCAGGAATGTAAATGCATGAGCTAACCATTTTTGTCTAAACTGTGAAGCAGCATTATATATGCATCATGTGCATGATTTTTCCATATATGGCATTAGTGGAAATATGCTTTTAGAGACTTTTTGGTTGATAAATACGTTTTGCTGTGTGAAAATCACACGCACCTGGTGCGTGCGTGTGTTTAGGTTAGTAAATCACCCCCACCGTATCACATAATTACTGCTTCCCTACATTCTGGGGCTTATCCAAAATTGACTGCGCTAGGAAGGTGAATAAAATTAAATTAAATTAAAGTTCCAGCTGCAACAATGTGTATCAGTGTGATCAGATGTGAACTAGTATGTTGCGCTTGGTTGAAATCTCTTACGTGCGATTTTGTTTCAATATTTCATTGTGATAATGTAATCTTTAAAACACATAAGTGATTTATATCATAGAGTGAAAAAAAGAATTAAATATATATTAAATAAACATGCAAGTGAATAATACCAATTAATAAACCTTATCTCATCTTGTAATTAATTGATCTCTACTACATGATGGTATTAGTGAAAACAGCACATATATAATCTGAATGTCACCCGTGTACCCGCCTACATTCTGGGGCGTTTGCGGGCATGATGGTGCATTCGGGTCAATGGCACTGCAGTCAGTGGCGTCACAAGGGGAGTGCGGGGGGTGCGGCCCACACCCGGATGACACCATTGCAGTGGTGACACCAAAATGACTCACAGTCATTTTGGTGTCACCTCCTCTAAAAAGTCGGGCACTCAATCATGGACCGAGAGCCCGACAGTGTCAGGAGAGAGCAGGGCACCTGACGGCATACCTCATCACGCCGGGTGAACGTCCCTTCCTCTCTCTGCCGGCGTCCATCACCAAGATGCGCGCCAGCAGGCGGTGACGTCATCGCGTATACGCTAGGTGACGTCACTCGCATGCGCAATGACGACACAAGGGGTGTCCCCCTGACTGCAGCCACACCTCCCGCCCTGCAGTGCGAATGCCCGCATCAGAAAGCATGGCACGGCATTGCCTGTGGTGCGGTGCGATTGCAAAACATAGTGCAGTGGAAGCTGTAATTATATTATCCAGTGCGTTCCAGTTACTAACAGTGCTGGAATGCACTGGAATTGGTGTGAACAAGCCCGTAAAGCATATCTAAACCCAAAAACAAAAATATATGAATATATTGCAGCTTACTAAATGTAGTTGCTGCATTTTTTTTCCAGGCTTTTTTTCCTTTTATTTTCACTTGATGGTCCAGCCAGTAACACACTTCCTGTCTCAGGATGGCTTAAGTTTATGGAGGAGCAATGGAGCCACTAGACATGCACAATTCGTTTTGTTCCAAATTGAAATTCGGATGCATATTGGCATATTCGTACTTTCAGATGCATCCAAATTTCCAAATGGAAAACATAACAAATTTAAATTAATCTGAATTTTGCGGTACTGAAAATTTGGATGCATCCGAATTTTTGGAAATTATTTGAAAGGGCTTAGACAATCCCAAAAAAGAAAAAAGCATGGGGTCCCCCTCAAAATTCATACCAGACTCTTAAGGTCTGGTATTTGTTTACATTCCGTAACAGATCTCTGTCCCCTAACGGAATTTTTTTCATAGGGGCGGAGCATGTCCTGTGATGTCATGACTTCTTCCGCCCCTTTGTTTACATTCGCGAGCAGAGCTGTCGTTAGCGTTGAAAGTTTGTTGGGTTTGTCTGTGGCGGCGGGGAATTTTTCTTTCGGCGAGTCGGCTGCCATCATCCATCGTGATTGATGAGGATCTACATTGCTGGGTGACGTAATTGACCTTGGGATTACATCACTGGACTTTTTTTTATTAAAGGGATTGTCAACAACTGTATTGTGATTTTTTTTCAAAAAAAGGACTTTTGAGCAAGGTGTGGTGTTTTTATTTACTATTTTACTGTTATTTGGTGAATGAGTAGGGGTAACAACTACTACTTACTCATTCACGAGGGGGGGCAAGATCTGGGTGCTCCCTTTTTGAAAGGGGGCACCCAGATTCACATAAGCCCCCACAACCACCGGGCCAGGGTTCTGGGGAAGAGGCCCTTGTCCTCATCAACATGGGGAACAGGTGCTTTGCCAGGGGGTCCTCCCCATGTCCTCCCCAGATTACGCCACACATGTTACATATCGCCACAAACGTCGCAGTGAGAGTGCTAATCTCTATAATAGGCAATAATAAGCAATAATACGGCCAGTAATCACTGATAAGACTAAACGGATGAGTAGTAAAGCTTTTAAAGCGTCACCTATGGCCAATTTTAGGCATGGTAGTTTTTTTTTTATTTCTCGTGCGCATGCAATTTTGAGGTTCGGCTTGTTTGGTGTCTATTTACCCGACGTGACCCCGTCTTTAATATTTTCCCAAAAAAATTGGGTAATGGTAAATGTTTTATAACATAAAGTAGGGAAAACAGTTTATTTTTTCAAAATTTTTGGAACTTATTTTATTATATAGTACACATTAAAAACCCCAGTGGTGATTAAATATCACCAAAAGAAAGCTCTATATGTCCCAAAAAAATTGTATAAATGTAATTTTAGTACAGCATTGCATGATCGAATAAAGGTCTGTCAAAGTACCACAGCGCTGAATATTAAAAAATTACCTGGATAGGTAGGAGGTTTAACACCCCGGTCAGCAAGTGGTTAAACAGTCATAAACGCTATAAAGCCAAAAGTTAGTGGACACACGTCAATGGGCATTAATATGGAGGTGCCCTCCACCTTTGCAGCTACTGTCTTCTGGAAAGGCTTTTCACAGGATTATAAAACGTGTCTGTGGAAAATTATGCCCATCCAACCAAAAAAGCAATACTGAGGTCAGGTTTTGATGTTGCATGAGAAGACTTGGCTAGCTGTTCCAAGTCTTCCCAAGGTTGCTGAGTAGGGTTGGGGGTCAGGGCTCTGTGCAGACTACTTAAGTTGCTCCACACCAAACTTGTCAAACCATGTACTTTATGTTTGTGACAAGACAGTGGTACATTACCTGGTCAGACACACCTTCTCCATAGCGAATTAGTGTCACAAAATGCTCACAATTATTCCCCAATAGGTCATAAGAAATTTCTTGTCCAATAAGATTTTCTGCCCGCTGGATAATTTCTTCAGCTGGAAGTGGTGTGTATTTATCGTCATACTTATTATTCACTTTGTAAGTGTCAGTTCCCACCACGTCCTTCAGAAGCTGCATCTTTACAAGGGCTTTTCTACTGAAGACAGACTTTGCACTTGAAAATGAAGCAGGAGTTGTCTCTTCTGCAAGTGAAATAGACATGTCCTTGTTATACAGTGCAGGACCTATCTATGAGTTAATAAAAAAACACTAGTCACTATCAAGGTGGATGGTAGCCACCAAAGCCTGTGCATGCTTTCTGTTATCCATGGTTCCCTTGGAAAGGGATGTGCTGTATTTCACATTTAATATGGCAGGACCTAGTCAATGAGGATTGTCTCTCTATTATTTGAAATTTGGTCAGTGTATGTAAATTAAACAATCCAGATTTTAGTTTTGTGCAAGGTGTTCTCATATACCATCCTATCAAATAAAGGCATGCAAAAGCAATTGTTCAAAGAAGAATAACACATGTACAAAAAAATGGTCATGCCCTTGACCGTATGTTGTTTTCCTTTTAATAATAAAATTCAAGTAAAACCAGATGCACTCATAGTAGATGTTTCAGTGTTGGGTAAATGCCAGTGGACTAGCCACTTTAATCCCTAATCTTCTTTGCACTAATTAATTTTGCATTCTGGGGAACAAAGCAAGGTGAGTGATACTGTGTGTGTGTGTGTGTGTGTGTGTGTGTG